TTAAACCAAAAATAAATTATTTCATTTTTAAACTTAAATTAAATTATAATAAAAAATAAATTAAATAAAGGGAAATGTAATTAATGAAATTAGGTGGAATTAGAATAAATAAAGGGAAATGTAATTAAATTCAATGAAGTTTGATTAAGAATTTGAATTGAATATCTTAAATGGATTGGAATATGCATGTTTGGTTGGCATAATGTAGTTTTGGAATTTGAATTAAATAATAAGAAATAAACAAAACACCCCTTTAGGACATTTTTCACACATTTTTGCTTAAAATGTAAATACTATAAAATGATAAAATTCATTATGGTATTGCTTGGTGGTGGCGATGAGACAACGTATAACCACTGGCAGTGGTAAGGCGACAAGGGTCGTGGCATTTGTCATGTATTTAGTATGTTACGATTTTTTGGTAGTGTTTGTCATGTATTTAGTATGTTATGATTCTTTTGATCGAGTTTTGTCTTTTTGAAAAATTGTGTGGGAATGAAATTAAATTTTATAACATTTGTGATGGAATAGTGAAATCCATAAAACGATGGAATCTATGGAGTTATATTTCATTCCAATTAAGTCAGATTCGTCCCATAAAGTTCATTGAGCAAACAAGTTAGATCAAAAGAAACATCAACTTAAACAACTTTACTCATTTGGTGTTACAATGCTTCTTTTGGTAATTTCAGTTTTTTTTTTTTGTCCCTTCATTAAGAAGCAGTAGCCATATATGTAGGTTCCAAACACAGGTGACCCCATATTTGGTATTTTAAGATTCTCATGATGGTAAAAGATAATAATTTACAAACTGATTCAAAACAAAACTACTGAAATCTTCATAACCGTTTTTTTTAAAGAATTTTTAAGTACCTCGTCATATGGTATGTGGGGGTATCACACCTCATATTTCTTAGTTAGCACTCGCAGTTAGTTTATTTTGAAATAAAAAACACACCTTCCCTTTGCATCTTCAAATGTCAACTTAGTCCATTGCTACATCCGGTTCAAGCACTTGAATGTGTCTAGCCATATGCAATTGGTTATTTGCATATACATGAGCTCGTTATGTTGCAGAACAACCTCTTTGTATTTCAAGAACTAGCTAAAACATTTGTTGTCTTTTTTGTTCAAATTTAATATTTCATGATGAATTGATCCCGATTTGAACAATATTAATATTTTATCTACTAAATTATGTGAAGTGTTGTGCATAAATCAAAGATTCTAAATGGCATAAGGTATGGCATGATGGTGAGATAAAGCCTCAAGTTACATGAGCTACGACGATGTCATGACGTTTTTAAAAACATGATTTAAGACGGCAAGTTTGTATATGATATACATACATACATATATATATATATATATATACATATGCAACCTTTACGTTCCTCCAACCCTTGCAACCAAATTCGGAGCGTTCATTTGATCGTCAACAATTACCATTTGAGCGGTTGTAACTACTCTTAATTAAAAAAGAAACCCAAAAAGAAAAAAATGGATGGTGGATTGCATCTGTTATATAATATAGAGGGGTTGTATTTGAACACCCCCCCCTCTCTCTCTCTCTCTATATATATATATATATATGTATGTATATGCATGTTGTAAGGCTAGAGCCCGATTGTGTCTTGGTTTTCACTAGATCTCATACATGTCAAAATAAGGATATATTATAACTGGTTAATCCCTGTTAGGTACAGTTTCTTTAGATAAGGATTGGTTATATGGATTTTGGTACAACTTTTTACTGGGTTAATGAGGTACTCTTGTCTTTTTATAATTTCTCATCATGTGTTGTATGCTCTTATCCCATCAACCCAAAACTAGATTACTTTGTCTAATCCCATTGAATATACATTAATTTGAATATGTCCCCGTATCTTTCCAATTTCTTACATAACAGGCTATTGATTGGCTATAGTTTATAACTTCATTGGCACTGGAGCAATGTCTTTCAGTTATATGCATGGCTCAAGTAATATACCGGTTAAATAGTACTCACGATGACCTTTGCATGATCTTAGTTCCTTGTAGTCTCTGTTTGTCTTGGTATGGAGTATAGGCATAGAGTTCTTGAACTAACCATGAAAAGTTTGTAGGTTTCTTTTCAAGTTATAGTTGCTTTGAACCAACCATTTCCCGATGGGAAGTTTTATTTGATTGGGTCAATGGAAAATGAAGACCACATGCTTGACAAACTCAAGGTTCTTGTTTTTCTAGAGAAATCTTTTAAACTCATTTTTTTTTATTTTAATGGGTGGTTCTTTAAAGCCTATACACAATTTTAACCTCAACCAATGTTCCCAAAAGTTATATGCATTTAGAAACCTGTACCAGATGGTATTATCTTCCATCTCCATTTATATAGGGATGTTTATGGTATGGTTTATGACAAAATCATAAATTACATTGTATATATTTCAAATCATAGAAAGCTGTACTATAAAATACTCTGCAATTTATGTGATTTATACATAACATATTTTAATTCAGTAATCATAAAATCATAATTTTACAACTACGTATCAAAATAATAAAAAGTTCCAATATATTTCAAATACGTAATTAAAAATAATATTAAATAAGGAGTCGTATAATTAGTCCACATATATCTAGCAAATTAACATCAAAATAAATTCATTGACGACATGTGACGTCTTAATACATTCATTTGTCCTTAGTCCCGATTCATGATTATTTATCCATAACAAAAATGTAATATGAACTATTAACAAAATAAAATTGAAAACGAAGATTGAAACAAATGATCAATGTATTTTCAATCAAGGGTTAGGTTTGATGAGATCGAGAATTATAGTGAGAATGGATCTCCACTATTGGATCAATCATAATTCAAGAGTGTTACTAGATCAACACTAATAAGAAATACTATATAATTTATCTTCTAAAACCAAACTCATGGGTTGGTCTGAGATTAAAAGTGACCAATGATCAAAATCTTTTTTTTTACACTCCTCAACTTAACTCATATTCTCACACGATCTTTCGTGTGTGTATATATATATATATATATTTAAAATATATATAAACATATAAGGTGTAGTACAGTTTGATGATTCAATATCGCAAGCCTTATCGTAAAATACAGTTTGATAAGAATACAAATCGGAAATCGCTCAAACGGAAACAAATGGTCATGAGGATTTAAGTATGGACTGAAATTGACAATCAACTAAACTTTATTGAGGGAAAAGTAAAATATTAGAACTCAAATAACTAAAAATGTAAATTGAATAATAGTGTAGGGACTGTTTTGTAACATACTAAAAATAATAAAACATAGAGTGGAAAGCAGTAGACACCACGCACACCTAGCAGCGAGTAACAAAAAAAAAAAAAAAAAAACTCGAAGCTGGCCTTCAGTCCGAAGCGAGCCATGGCGGAGCTCCGCCACTCTAGCTCGATCGGCGGCAGAGCAACACCGTCTCCTAGGAAACGCGACGACGTCACTTCCCCTTTATCGACGGAAAATCATCCTCCACGTGATGATGACGACGGTGGTCGCGATCGTTACCCTCGAGATCGGTTCCGCTCGCTCTTCTCCAATCATTTTCAGTTATTAGATGAAAGCGCTAGGTTTTATTCGCACAACTTCAAGATCTTGCTTTTATTCATCACTATTCTCGCTTTTGCTGGAATGTATTCCGTTTATTCGGTCATAAGTCACCTGGTGAGCAATCCAATCTCAATTCTAATCATTCTTGATACATACGGCATATATAGTCTTTATTCCAATAAATTATAAATTTCAGCGCTAAAAACAACTGCGACGGCACATTTTACTTTAGTTAAAATTTCAAGTCTGATTAATTCGAAAGGATTTTAGGGATTCCTACTCATGTAGAAGTTTACGTTTCGTCATGACCTTTAACATGAATGCAATGATGTAAAAATTTCGCATTTGGATGGGATCATGAAATTAGAATGTCGGTGATGTGAAACAGTGTGTCAGCTACTGCTGTGAATTGTGATAGTATTGGATCTATCAGAACATGGAAAACCAAGAAATGGTACCGATCAAGCCAATTGCATCTGACCAGGCTTAGTCAAAATCGAGTTGACCTCTTTCAGAGTCAAACATCATATCTTTGTAGTTTTTGGAATGTTTATATATAGGAGTTGGTTTTCATTCATTGATTCAACAACTTCTCAGCATCTTATATTCTGCTTGTTTCTTATGGTTATACACACGATGAATGATGCTTACATGCTGTTCTTGTATAATTAGTTTTCTAGTTTTTATATCCTCAATACTTAATAACTGGTTTGCAAAAATGGACTAATGTTGCTTCACTCTATTCTAATTATGTGTAGAATGCTCCATACTTGTGCACGAAAGATGGCATTACACTTCATTGCCCCCATGTAAGCTATACTGGACTATCTGGGTTGTTATACCATATGCGGTCATGATGAATGATCATTCTTTAACTTCAAACTTGCATTGTTTATGCTGTCATTAGGTCAAGGAGCCACCTTCTTTGTGGGAGAATCCATTATCAGCAACCACGTCTTGGAAGTCGTGTGCTGAAAGACGCATTGGTGCAATTTCAGGTAAGCTCTGGACATAAATGGAACTTTCTGTGGACCCTTTTATAATGAACTGAAATTGACATGTAATAGAAATTAGAATTGAGGTAGAGAAAACATGAATCACACAAAGTATATATCGGCGTATAGACTCTGTTAGAAAACAAAATTGGCTCACAAAACCAATGGCTAACAGAACATTGTTTGTTAAATATACTTATCGTTTCTTCAATTTGCAATGTTCGTAGGGAAATGATACTTGTTGGTTGAATATTTCTAGGAACTTTCCCAATCATATTTACACGGATGCAAGACTAGATTAGGTTTATTCTCAACAAGCCAGTGGATCAAGTATCCAACGATAATAGCATGAAAACTTTTTGCCCCGAGCCCCCGCTTGTGTCCAAAAAATATATATGAATTCCCTTCAATGGGCACAAAATTTAACACAAATTTCAGACTGATTGTAATTGAAAACTTTGCTGAACGAGGAAAAAGGTTGAGTTCATACATGTAGTTTTTATGAGAAAATTGAAATATTGCCTCTTTGTTTTGAAGTGCACAAGGTTGTGCTTAAATACACATTTTGTTTCTTAGTTAATCAGAAACTAATCTATACAGGAATCAAATATATAACAATTAAACTAGTTTATGCTGACCTAATTTACAACTATGATCGTATCTGTACCAAGACTCCCCCTAAGTTGGGGCATATATGATACATTTATAAGACCCAACTTGCTGATGATTTCATCAAATCTTGGTTTGTACAATTATTTTGTAGGGATATCAACTACTTGTTGCGTGGTTGGAACATACGGCATGCATATCGCTTCATTCTCTAGCTATTCTTTGATGAAGTGACTTGTCAATTTCTGTGTGTTTAGTTTTGTCATGTTGCACAAGATTATTAACAATGTTAATGCTGGCTTTATTCTCACAATATAGTTTCATAGGACCATCCAATGGTAGTTGTGGCTTCTTTTGTAGTCGTTTGTGCCAAATTGCCTCATCCATTGGCCATAGCACTAATCTTTGTTTCCGCAGTGTTGCTATCAATTATATTTTACTTTTTTACTTTGTCAATCCACTAGATATCCCCATATAAATGAACATTATCTACTTGTGGATCTTCTACCAGTGACCGGACCCGCTCAATCTCGATGAAAACCTCGAGCTATTTGAGTTTTCTCAAAGAATGCTCAATCTTGACAAATGAAAACCTCAAGAGTTATCTGAGTCTTCTCAAAGAATAGTCCCCTTCGAGAAGATCCATTAAATATATCTTAGAATGTGGTAAGCTTCATTTGAATGAACCTAACCAAACTTTATCAACATAATCACTTTCAATGTTGCAAAGGTTTTCATTGGGGTCTACAGGCGTGTCAGTTGGCTTACAAGCAATCATACCTGTATCAGAAAGCAAATCCATAATCTATATTTTGTTGGCTTAACACAATCCCTTATTTGATCTTGCAACTTCCATTCCCATGATATGCTTGAACAATCCTAGTCTTTGATCTCAAATGCTTGGGCTAGAAGCCAGACTTGATAATCCCCTGTGACGATGATGTCATCCACATAAACCATTAATACAACCACCTTCCCATTTTTTCCTCTTACAAGATAAGGTGTGATCAGTCTGACTTCGAGAATATCCTGTAAATCTCTTAAACCAAGCTCGAACTGATTGCTTCAATCTCTAAAGGATTAAGGGCCTTTGTCAATAGGCACACTTGGGATCGGAAATCAGTATCATAGAATGGAGGAGGTTCCATAAACACTTCCTCTTCAAGTTTTCTATTAAGGATAACATTCTTCAATCTAGTTGTTGTAGTGGCCATTGTAAGTTTGCTGCAACTGACAATATGACCATTGTATTATTGAGTTTTGCCACTGTAGCAAATGTTTAAATACAGTCAATGCCATCAACTTCAGTGAAATCTTTTGCTACCATTATCGTTCTGTATCTCATGAGCGTCCCACCAAAAAATGTACTCGACTGTAAATACCCATTTACATCGTACCAACTTCTTTTCACGAGGATGAGTTACTTTTACCTGTGTTTGATTTTCTTAACAGCATTTATTTTCTCTAAAACTGTTGCCTTTCCTTTAGGAACCTGTAAAGATGTTTGTATAGACTTTGGAATTTCCTCATGATTAAGACGTGAAATAAAACAAGAGAAAGATTGAGTCATGAAGAGAGATCGAGTTAGGCATATGATAGTTGATGGTGTATTTTTGAATTCCTTTTGTAAGAGCTATTGGGTATATCAGAATTAGGAAGATCGAGACTGGACCCAAGGTTTAAAGGAATAAGCTCAAGAGAAATTATAGCAAGCCGTGGGGTTTCTTCTAGGCTATGCATAGTGCTGGTTGAATATATTGCTTAAGAAAACAGCTTTAGGGTATGTTTGGCCAAATTTCTTGTCATGGTTGGATTTGTTGTATGTCATAAAGATTCAAGATTGCTAGTTATGGCCGATTCATTATGTGTTTTTGTTCTTTCAACATCATCACCTTCCTTACCCTTTTTGTTTGAATTTGAATCAAATTCCTTATTAATTTTCTCTTCCACATTGTGGTTGAGATTTTGAAAAAACTTATTGTAAGTTCATATGATTCAAACTCAAAAAATCCAAGTCAACTTTACTTATCACCAAATCTTCGTACTTGCCAAGGTCGAATTCTCCACTTGAAGATGAGAGGAAAAAGATAGTGTTTTCTTCAACCAAAAAAACCCGCATCCATAGTTACAAAATACTTATCAAAATGGGACCAAAACATTTGTAACCTCTTTGAGAGATTGAATACCCTAAAACACGTCGTCTTAGAGGACATAGATTAATTAAGAAAATTGTGCAACCAAATACCTAAAAGTCTAGGATTCGAGTTATATGCATGAAATTTTGAGGAATTTCAAATTGCAGTACATTGACATTGATTAATGAAGAAAAACATTTAAAAGAGCCATTACCAAAGAAGGTTTTGAGGTACATTATTTGAAGACAACAGTTGCCTCACCATCTTCTGAGTGGGATATACTTGATTTGTTGGTTTGGTTTATTTGAAGACAAAAATGCTCTTGTGACTCAAGCAAATGTATCTTTTTCTTTCAGCCACATCATTCTTTTTATGTGTGTCATCACAAGGACATTGAATGTAGGGTGCCTTTCTTAAAATATGTGTCGAAACTTTAGAAAAATGTTTCCTTTAATTATCACTCCTTAATATTCAAATATGGTCTTTAACTTGTTTTTGAATCATGGAGTATAAATAAAAAAAGAAAAATCTGCACTTTCGTGTTCTTTTTTCATAAAAAATTCCACCAGAGTCCTGTGTGATCATCAATGAAAGAAACAAAGCATTTTTTGCGAGAATAAGTGGGAATACGTGATGGACCCCAAATATCACTATGGACGAGTTGAAATGGTTTAGATGAAGCAAAGCTGAGAATGATAAGTAGATTTGTGATTTTTTGCTAGCGCACATGGTTCACATTGTAACAAAGATGGGTCTTCATTGATAAATAACTTGGGAAAATAGAAAAATTGGGACATTATAAACGAGAATGCCATAACAAAACATCTTGATCACTAGACATAGATTCTAACGTATGATAAGGATTTGGACGGCCGTACTTTGAATGCAATTCATCTTCAAAGTAATACAACTTTTCACATTCCTTGGTACTACCAATGATCGTCATCAACAGTAGGTCTTAGAAAAGAACACATAGTAGAGGAAAATTCAGCTTGACAATTAAGGTCACAAGTAAGTTTTTATAAAGGCCAAGAAATTACAGGTCAATATAGGTACATGAAGGATATTGTAAATGATAATTTCTGCTGAAATGTCGAGGGTTACAATGCAAACAGTGTGCCATTTGCAATTTTGATTTTTTGTTATCTTCTGAACTGGGCTTGTAAGAAGAAAAATATTGAGAACAATATGTCATGTGATTAGTAGAACCATAATCTATGACCCAAATACCACAAGAGAACACACAATGAAAAATAGATACCTTGCATGGCTGAAGTACAAGAAGAAGATGAATTAAGAGAAAGTTGTGGAGAGTTCAAAAGCCTATACAGGTGCTGGAGTAGATCTTTGGTGAAAGGCATTAAGGCACCAAATATGAAGAAGTATCTGCTCTCAAGAAGTCTCAGCCATAGCTGTGGTAGCTGTCCCATCTCTTTTTTGTCTTGAGGCGACTTTGCTTTTCTGTAATCTGCAAGGCAGGTAATGCAATGACATTCAAAGTGGTTAGAACAAAGGTACCAGCAGGCTGGTTGATTGTTAGACTGCATGTATCAGAGGAGGTTGACATGATGAGCTGAGATAGAAACATAAATTGTTTCTGGTGGGCCGTCAGAGGTTACAGTGGTTAGCAACAATTGCAACAGCAGATAAACAGAATTGACCATGGGGGGAATTGTTTTCCTGTGAACAGTTACGCTGACAATGAATAATGTACCTGAACAATGAAAGTGAACAATATGGGTACTATGTAAAGTGAGTGGGTTTCTAATGAGCTAGGTCTCAATCCCTGCCCTAACATCATGTAGTTTTTATGAGAAAATTTAAATATTTATGCTTCCTTTTGAATTGTGCAAGACTGTGTTTAGATACACAATGTGTTTCCTCATCAATAGGAAACTAATCCCTAAAACTTAGGAAACAAATATATGCTGGTCTAATTTACATATGTGATCATGTCTAAACCAACAATGAACTTGACCTTCATTTTTGCAACGACTTCTCTTTTTGTGGATTCATCTATGATTCAGTAGTTCTTCAATTCTCGGGGTCAACTTTCAATTAATATTTATGGAAATTCCATATATATTATAAGTTCGATCAGGGTAATTGTTTCTCAGATATATACATAGTGCAATGCCATTAATGCCAAAAGATGTTCTTCGCATTGAACTTCTGTACCCAATTGCCTAGATAATTGCCAAGAGAACTTACCTTCACATTATATTTTACTTTATATGTATTCAAATGGGTTTAGTTAATACATTAGGTTGCTCTAACACTAAAATTGTGAGATCTTGAAGTTTTGTTCCCTTCTATATACGTGATTAGTTGAAATTGATGTGGTGTTTCTCATTGCTTTTGCTTTCTTATTGCGTTTTTAGATTAGAACATTCCGTAGTTCACTTAGTTTTGGCCTTCCCATCTTTCTTAAATCAAACAAAAGATTTTGTATGACTTCAATCTAGTGATCATTATTTCTACGGGTTGGTGGTTATTGATTTTGTGCAGATCTTCCAGAGGCAAATGAAACAAATGGATATATATTTATTCATGCGGAGGGTGGGCTAAATCAGCAAAGAATTGCTGTATGTTCTATTCTTTGAAACTCTTTAATATAAGCTATTGGATGGATCTCCTATATGTCTGTATCATTGTAAACCTGTAATCATGTGTCTCCTCTCAACTTTTCTGCTCTGTGGTAACCTTCTGAAAGTATATACAAACATGGGATATATGCCTATGTTTCTTCAAATTCTGGCTGTTTAATGAACTCACTTCTCTTTGATATAGCTAAGTGAAGCTCTGTATGATCGTACTAGTAATGAACTACTTATCGTCTTGATTGAAACTTGAACCTTATTTCTTGAAAGCTTCTTACTCACTCTTGATGCCTCTTTAATCATGGTGCAAACTTATAATAATTAATGACAGTCATGCGCTCTTTTTAATAAAAAAAGCCCCCCCCCCCCCCCCCCCTCTCAGTCATGCATTAGTATATAAGCATTTTCTTTGGTCAATGCCTAATAAAAAACTGGTTTAGATGGAGCAATATTAGAAAAGCCAAGGAGGAAATCAAAGAAGGGAAAGGAAATGAACAGCATGTTGAATTCGGGGGTTTTTAGTGGGGATGAGATTTCACCCTCTGGAAATTGGATGAACAATCAAATCAAAACTTGGAATTCTGTTAAGTTTGTATCATTATATACATGGAGGCGATGGAGAGGGAGAGGGCTGGGTAGGGATGCTTTGCTCATAGTTGGAGGGTAGAAATTAATTAGTAAAATAATAATTAATCTTTTGTGAAATTTAATTCACGATAGCTGGACATGCGTGCAATCAAAATAGCAATTTAAAATTTTGTAAATACATGATTCCAAGGACATTGTACCTAGTGCAATTTTATACAATTACAATAGATCCAAAATTTAATCAACTTCTCAAATCTAACCTTAAAGCTCAACTTTTCTTTTTTACACTGTTTTAAAGAAGGCACACATGCCATCTTTGGAAGTTCATTGATCTTATATCAATTTCTGTACTTCAAGGGTGTAATAGGGTCATGGTCAAGTTTCCTGCAAGGTAGCAAAAGTGAAAATTTGTCATGATGCTAAAATCTTTCAATATTGTAATTACTTATATTGAAGTGATGTCTTGCTGTATATTGATGCCAAAGGTATAACCTAAAATCTGGTCCATCTGTCATATCTGACCCTGGATAATTTAAAATGTTACCTGTTAGTTTCATTTTTCTTACTGCCATGCAAGCACTAGCTGTTGTAATTTGTAATATTCTTTTTGCATGCTTATGACCATATTTCTTTGCAACAAGCTTTCCAACTGCTAATTACTACAGTACCTTCTCATGTCTTTTCATATAGATATGCAATGCAGTTGCTGTTGCCAAAATCATGAATGCCACTCTTATTCTGCCTGTGTTAAAGCAAGATCAGATCTGGAAAGACCAAACGTGAGTAATCTTGGCCTAAAAACTTTGTGCTTCTTGTGGGTCTCATGAACTTTTGACAAGCGAATGCCATCGATGTTGATATGCATAGTTTTTTAGAAGCAAAAGCACTGTGTGTTTTTGTTCTTTGGTATATTCATGAAACTTGTGCTCATATCTTTAATTTCTTTAACGTTTACAGTCACTATCACCATCTGCTCTAAAATGATAATCAAAGCGTGGAGTAATTTCTTAATTTCATCTTGAACCACTATCAACATTATTTCTATTGTCAATACCATTACTGTTACCCGTCAGAAACTGATGTGCAAATTTTTTCTGTACAAAATTTGGTTCCATTAATAACAAAGGCAGTTATGCGATTCTTTGTTACTTTATCCACATTTGTTGTGGTTTTTTTCTGGATCCATCTGATGCATTTTGTAGACTGTACTCCCTGTGGCTAGAGAGGGTTTAACAACCATCGCAAAACCACATGTTACATGGGGTTGAGCTTCCACTTTCTGCATGTTGTATAATAATCATCCGTTTATGTATGCACACTCACTCCACATATTCAGCCTGTTCTTGATTCTGATATTTGCTTATGAGTTTAATATTTTTTAGAAAATTTGAGGACATATTTGATGTGGATCATTTCATCGACTACTTGAAGGATGATGTGCAAATTGTGCGTGATATTCCATCATGGTTCACTGATAAGTCAGAGTTATTCACAAGCATAAGGTCTTCTCTCATTCTCTCTGTACACATGCACTTACACTTGAACAAAATATGAAAATATCACGGAAGAACCTATATTTAATGTTTCTTCCTGTTAGATATCATACATTGTTATTTAATTAGGGTTTTACTTTCTACCTTTCGTATATAAATGGTTGTGATCTTTTAATAAATGCAAGAATTATTTTCTGAATCTGATTACACTTCCAAGCTAATGAAGTTGAGGGTATTCTTAAGTGTTAACCTTAGGTGTCTAAACTCCAGGGCTAAAATCGTTAAGTGTTTGAGCATACAGATTTGTGGTTAAGTTTTCTTGGACATTACAAGTTCCACCCATCTATAAAATACTTTGCTAAGAATTTTCTTGTTAATGCATGATAGACGCACGGTGAAAAACATCCCCAAGTATGCTCCAGCTCAATTCTACATTGATAATGTCTTGCCTCGGATCAAAGAGAAGAAGATAATGGCCTTGAAGCCTTTTGTAGATCGGCTTGGGTATGTTGTGGGAGAAGTGTTCTCTGATGAACTCAAATTCGTTTCATTAATTTTTAACCTTGTATGTGTTTGTTCTTGTCCAGCTATGATAATGTACCCCAAGAAATCAACAGGCTAAGGTGCAGGGTTAATTATCATGCTCTCAAGTTTCTTCCTGAGATTGACGAAATGGCTGAGCGGCTGGTGGCAAGAATGAGAAATCGAACAGGCAGTTCAAATCCTTTTATGTAAGTCTGTTCAAGTGGTTTCCACAATTATATTTAGTGCGACAGAATTCTGTCTTTTTTACTCCCAACTGCTTTAAAGACTTGAAAGACTATCTTCTTCAACAGGGCTCTTCATCTTAGGTTTGAGAAAGGGATGGTAGGACTTTCGTTTTGTGACTTCGTGGGGACAAGGGCAGAGAAAGCTTTGATGGGATTATACAGATTAAAAGAATGGCCTAGGCGGTTCAAGGTGAGACTGTCTTTCTGAATTTCTTGGATTAGAATAGGGGTCCTTTGGTTAATTGACCTTGTGACTGGTTTTGTTAAATCTATGACCTTGGGACTGGTTTTGTTAAATCTATGACCTTGGGACATGTTTGAGATGTCACTGCTTGACATACACAAGAATGTCTAAAAACCTGTCACATCATGGAGTTAAAAAAACACTTGTAAGGAGGTCTTTAGCTAAATAACCCGATTACAATACATGTATGAATTTCCAATCTTTTTTCCTTATCCGATATTATCCACTTGTAACGACCACATGACTGCCATATATTCCTACAAATGGAAAAAAAACATCAAGTCTATCATGCCTATTGAAACATGCAATTCCTAGAAATAATTGCATTGGAAAGTTTTAACATACGCAGTAGGGATTCGCAAATCTTCCAGACGTAGAGCACGCAGGGCTTTGAACCCAAATACATTACCTACAATGGAAGTAAACATGTTAGTAACATAACATAAGAAAGTCGTGGGAAGTTAACAATACCCGACGACATTCAGGCGAGTGTTCATAGGAGATCTTTAGGCATATAACCTTAAATGAGATTTTAATTAAATCCATGACCTTCTTATGAATATAATCCCATTTTTCTTATATAGGCCAGGAGGTCATGAATTTAATTAAAAACTCATTTAAGGTACCTAAATGACTCGTGTTCATACGTGTTATTGCTGTGATGTAATCATGCTGAAATTAGATGTAAAATGGATTAACGAAAGGTTATTCTGAGTGCAGGATGGCTCCCATTTGTGGCCGCTTGCACTACAGAAGCGCAAAGAAGGGCGATGCCCTCTTGAGCCTGGGGAAGTGGCAGTGATGCTCCGGGCAATGGGCTATCCAAAAGAAACTCAAATATATGTTGCTTCTGGTCAGGTTTATGGTGGACAGAACCGAATGGCACCACTTAGGAACATGTTCCCGAATCTTGTAAGGACCTTTTTTCAATTTTATACCCCCAACTTCAGGATCATGCATGATCTTCCAATAATATACTCCTTCCGTCCCAAAATAAATGTCCACTTTCAAAAATAAGTGCCTATTTTCCAATTCTACCCTTAATTATCAAGGGTAAAATTGTCATTTAATTAATTAAAAGGTGTAATAATTACACATTTCTAACCGTGCGTCTTTTTTATTGTGGACATTTATTTTGGGACTGGAGAGAGTAATCAACATGTGAAGCTTATCTTTCAACTCATTTATCATCATGGGGGGGTTTCAACAGGTAACAAAGGAGGAGTTAACAACAAAAGACGAATTAGACGGCTTCAGGAAGCACGTGACAAGCTTGGCTGCCTTAGATTTCTTGGTGTGTTTGAAATCCGACGTATTTGTGATGACCCATGGAGGCAACTTTGCGAAACTAATAATAGGCGCAAGAAGGTACATGGGTCACCGCCAAAAATCCATAAAACCCGACAAAGGCCTGCTTTCCAAATCTTTAGGTGATCCCTACATGGGTTGGGCTACTTTTGTCGAAGATGTGGTCATCACCCACCAAACACGCACCGGACTTCCAGAGGCAACGTTTCCCAATTACGACATCTGGGAGAACCCTTTGACGCCTTGCATGTGCAAAGCTTGATCATAATGCTGATTGCTCTTTTAAAGGTAAGATCTTGATCTTTCTGGGTGTTCGTTCATCTACAACCTGAAAAAGAAGGATCCTATTGACTCATATATGATAAGGTTCAAAGAGATAGAATGGCTGGTGGGTGAAAGAAGATCTTAGGGTCAAGATTCACAGGAGTACTAAAAAACTGCAGTTTCTTGTAATCTTTCAAGCTCTACAATTGTGGATTAGTGATGTTGGTGTAAATTAAGATAGGGAAAAGTACGAGTACTTTAGCAAAAAAAAAAAAAATTAAAATAGCCCGAGGGATTTACATTTCGAACCTTCCTAGATTTTATTTACAATCTAACTATTGTTCTTGTTAAAATGTCAAAAGAAAGCTATAGTTTGCAAGAAACACGCGATTTTGGACGAATTCAACTGCAAAAAGAACCATTAGTCTTGGCACTTTTTGGTTCTAAATTGCTTGTTCTTGCGAAAATATAGCGTTCTTGTATTTTTGCAACAACAATCGTTTGTTTGTAACGAAAGGAAAGTATCATAGGTTTAAAAAGTCATTTGGTAATGTTTCTTGTATCCTAACTTCGCTTTTGGGACAAACAAGTTGTGGGTCATTTCTATCTTGTTGGTTTTGACAAGGATTCGAGCAGTCAAATTCCTCCTATTCATGGTTTGTACATTACACAGTAAAAAAATATATTTGCTTCGAATTTGATATCGTGGGAAAAAATTAGTTCTATAAATAAATGTGGTGTCATATGGACTATGGTACAAGGGTTATCACCTTATGAAATAAACATATACTTTGTAGTCACCACAATTTTTTCTCTGAGAGACTCTATATTGTAAGATACTTTTTCTTATGGTTTTTGACAAATCTGACATATATAATGAAAAAGTGATCCCAATGCCCAAAACCATAAAAACAGCAAGTTGTGGTATTGTAAACTTGTAGTCCCTTGTGTCTACGCATAAAATACAAACTGAAGTCACAGGTTGGGAAACCATAAGACCGCCCACTTGTGAAACTGCAAGGAAAAGTTTTTTGCGGCGTTTGACTTGCAGTTTTTGACTATTTTGTGAGAAAATTTAACTTGGTGGCTATAAAGCTAATGTCTCTTCTTGATGTGGTTATTTACTACAAGTATCGTATTTGGTCATATTGTCACAAATAAGGACAATTGTAAGCATGCTTTCTGCTCTCAAGTACACAAATTAAGGAGGTGTTTGGTTAGAGGTATTAAGACAGTCATTAATGAGATTAAATATAAAAGAAACTGTTTGTTTTTATATAATATAATGAGCTCATTTTCTCATGAGTCTAAATTTTCATTTCAATTTAAACCGAGTCATTTCCAATCATTTTAATTTTCATTCCCATAAATCAAAAGTATTTATTTATGGTGAAATTTGAATTTGATTTGCGTTGATAGGGATGTCTAAACAAATACATAGTTAGTGAGATTAGAGTTGCCTTAAAAGGGAGACAAGCTGCCTTCACAAAAGAGACCACAATCGCATTAAATGATTGTAACCCTTCAAGTTACGTCATCATGTACATAACCTCCAACTGATGATTGCAAGGCTTATTTCTCCTATACTCTTTTTAAGTTGTAATGACATGCACACTCTATGGTTAACAAAATCATGTACAACGAACGAGATGGGTATTTGGACTAGATTGTGACGTAAGTAGGTCGACTCAATGGTCTATAAAAAAAGTACTTCTGAAATAATTGTAGGGGCTCCGCTTTTTACCATTTTGGTCAATTTGCTTGCGAGCTTTTTGAATCGGCATTCCACTGTTATTAAGCATTAGAACTTAAATTAAAGCTTTGATTTGCTAATATAACCTCTTAGTTTTTTGACGACGATACCTAATGCTATCACATAACAAATGACATTCATAGCACTACTAAGAATTGTAAAGTCACTTACACTATGATGGACGAACTGGTAGCCGAGTATGTAGGGTTTTTGCTTAGTTTGGGAAATTGGGTTTGTTGCCTCCCTCCTTTCTTTGTCTTGTAGAAGGTGTGTATGCCTTTGTTTGTTTGGTTTTAGTTTATGATTGCCTTTAGAAAAACTTAATAAAAAAGAAAGTGACAGGATTCTTGTTGAAATATGTCGCATCATTTCGTTGGTGTGAAAACAAAACATACCAAAAATCATTTTCACAAACCACAAGCGTTGTGTCCGATTAGTTTGAGCCTGAGATCCAAAGGTCAAAAGTGCCTAGAAGTCGCAGGTTTGAATCCAAGGAGGAATAAATACGGTGACTCCGGACTACCCGTGAAACAAATGGTCGTCCTAAAATTAATCGTCACATAGCAGATTTGATATCCAGGTTAATAAAAAAAAACAGTTTTATAGCTTTAGAAAATGACACTTCTTGTTTTCTTTGAAAAAGGAGAAGCCTCTTCTTTGGCTTGCACGTTTTGTGATGAGAGGTTTATACTCTAACTCAACCATTACGTGTTTTCAAAACTTTTTTTTTATGACTTATGTTTTCAAAACTTATTATATATGTAGATTCTGAGAGGTCTTTATTTGATAACCCATAAAATTATAATGACTTTCATAACTAATACGTCATATGCTATTCCATATTATATATTTTTTCATCTACGACTTGGATTTAGTGTACTGGATTGACATATATTTGTTTTACAATGTGTTTGTTTAATTAACATATTATATTATTTAATGTTTTGTTTACTATCTTGTTTGTATTGATTAACATATTATATAATTAGGAATTTGTTTTAATTATATCATAAAATGTTGTAGTTGATTAATTTTTTAAGGTGTCATTTTATAATTTTTTAAGGTGTTATTTTATTGGTGAAATAAATTATAGATGAAAATTGTGTTGGATTTCATGTGGTAGAAGTAGCATATATGGACAATATGTTTGGATTTTATGAGGTGAAATAACATTTGAAAATTTTGTTTTATTTCATGAGGTGAAATGGTATAGTGAGTATGTATTTCATTTGGTAAAAAATCTTTGTGTGTTTCATCTGGTAAATTTATGTATTTCATATGGTAAATCTGAGTTACCAAAATGACGATTATGTTCTTTTTTTAATTAAGAACAACTTTCAGTTAAAACCATTAGATCAAAATCAAATTAAGGCTTAGATCAATTTTCACGGTTAAATTTTTTGAACAATTTCTCGATTTGTGCATGTCCTTCTTGCATAGGAACCATGCTAATCTTCTCTACACCGTTCCAATTAAAGAATATCAATTTAAAGTAATGTTATTATGATTAAAAGTATGATAAAATATTTAAAAAAAATCAATTTTTAGTAGTTACTTTTAGAACTAAAATGTAAGCAATGACGACATATTGTGGAGCGTGGACCAATCACATCGAATCCATACCCTTTTAAGAAAGAAAACAACATTTATCTTTTAAATCTTGACACTCTATTATATAATTTTCCTTCCTTTTACAACATTAATAATTCATATAAATTATTAAAAAAATAACAATAATAATTTGTATAAATACATATCGTATTTATATAATGATATTTCGTATGTGAAATGTTCAAGATTATTTTTTTTTATGTATAAAACAATCTTAAACATTTCACATCTATTTGTAAATTTCTATAATTTATTTGTTTATAAATAATTATATATTTATATGTCTATCGATATCTTTTGGTATTTTTTTTTACTTTAACAAGTACGGTGCTATTTACCAAACGTTTGTAAGCGCTTACTAAGTCACTTTATTTTACCGGATGAATATGAAAAGACTAAGAATCTTATCCGTTAATAGCGAATGAAAGAATCGAGAGTCTTATAACCCGGTAAGTGAGAGCGACCACTCTTACCATGGTTAGCGCTTATCGAAATTAAATTGTTGCATATGATGCGTTTAAGTGAATAAAATCTTGCACGGTAAGTAAACGATAATGTTGGATTTTACAGATAGATGTTTACTGGGTAAGTGTTTAGATAAACGGCCCCTACAATCTATAATGATTAAAGAAAAATATTTAACATAGGACAGCGTAGAATATTCTTCAGCGTATTAGAATTTCTTTTAATATTTTTTTTATCATTAATAATTAAATATTTAATAAAAAATCCATATATATATATATATATATATATATATATATATAATCCACTCCTATGCTTACATGCTCCGCACTTGAAGGATCTCTCCGCCGCCGTCTCTCCACCGTAACACCACCAACCAACTAACTTTCCTGCCTTTATTCCCATTCCCACAACTGTCACTAATCACCATCTCAAATGAACTCCGCCTCCGCCACCGTCTTCAGACCACCAACGCGCTTTCCTCTTCTTCCACCAAATTCACATAACCCTAACCCTCCGCGCATTCAATACAAACCAAACCATTCAAATCCGCGCTCCATTTCCACCAGATCCCTCCAAATCTCCCATCGCAAACACGTAACGCCACCACATCCTCCGGAATTCTCGACGCTCACCGTCGCGGAGAAGCTCCAGATTCTCGTCAAGGAATTCAAATCGTTGCCGGAGCCGATCGACAGAGTGAAACGATTGATACATTACGCAAGTCTCCTCCCGGAGTTTGATGAGTCAGGTAGGGTGGAATCAAACAGAGTAACCGGATGTACGGCTCAGGTGTGGCTGGAGGTGACTATGGATGTGGAAGGATCGATGAGATTTAGAGTCGATAGCGATTCGGAGATCACAAAAGGATTCTGTTACTGTTTGATTTGGTTATTGGATGGAGCGGCGGCCGGTGAGGTTCTGGAAATTAGGGTTGAGCATTTAGAGGAAATGAATGTTGGAATACTGCCGATTAGGGCTAGTTCTAGAGTTAACACTTGGCATAATGTGTTGCTTAGCATGCAGAGAAGAACCAAAGCTTTGATCATGGAGGCTTACGGTGATCCCTCTCTTCCTTTATTGCCATGATTTCCCTGCTATTTTTTCTTCACAAAACAAAACCATCTCCCAATTTAACAAAATCATTCTTTACCCAAATACAAATTGGGTTTGGATTTGATATCAAACTGTCATCTGGTTGCTAAAGATATCTGGCATTGATGTTTTTGGAGATGGTGAAATCCGTGATCAATTTTGTGCATAAATTGTTAACGATTTCAAGTTTGAACACGAGTTTCTTTTATAAGATACATGAAGCATATGTGCATGTGAAATTGAAGAACTGAATCAAGAGAATTGAATCAAGATTAAACGGAACAAGATTGGAATTATACATAAAACAAGTACGGATTTTGTAAACGGGAAAAATACGATCAAACTTGATGGATTTAAACCGATGTTGTTGTCGTTTTGTTTTTTTTGTTTTTTTTTTTTTTGGAATTTTAAAGAGTGTATTTGTTGGAATATGAAATGGAAAATGGTTTGCGTGCCAGTGGGACTCCCAAGGTTGTGGATGTTTCCATATAAAATGATTGTTATTTCGTCTTATTCAAATAAAATATAATATCATAATCTTAAAAAGATATCTCGACACTTCATTTCCTGTTTTTCATAGGAATTGATTTGGCAATTAGTAAAATGAATATAAACAATAAATTAACTTGAATAATATTCAATAAATATTTAAATTATAATAGATGAATATTCATCATTTTCATGCGTATCTAAATTAATTGGTTTGTATAGTTTCTATTAATGGTTCAGTTTGTAAAAGATCTCTTATATATATATATATATATATATATATATATATCCATATTTGGGATCATGTGAGACCAAGCTGTTTTCATGAGACCTGTAATACCATTTTTTATACGTGAAACTTCATAGTAAAACATTGTAAAGATAACATTCATAATGTTTTTGTTATGAAAGTTCGGTTTCTTTTATCTTTACAATGTTTTCCTATGAAGTTTCAAGTGTAAAAATGTGGTTACCCGTGTCTCACGAAAACATATTGGTCTCACATGAACTCAACACACACACACACACACACACACACACATATATATATATATATATATATATATAGGGGCTGGTTCAAATACTAACCAAAACTATTGTGCAAACTATGTTAACCCGATCTTGATCGTTCATTTTCTCATCAAACGGTTCTTATTAAATGAGACTATAAAAATAATCATTTAATTAATATATTAATTGAGATGTCTATGAACAACGGTTCAGATGGTACTTTTGTAAGAACGTCGTATGAACACGGTGAACATTTATATGAACACGGTGAATGTTCATGGACATTACATGGATATGAACACCATGAATACYGTGAACATCGGAATTACCTCATGATCAATTAGAGGGATCTTAAAAGATTTGTAACTCCCAAATAATTATTAGGGAGTTACATAAAGGTCAAATTACAAAATGACCCTTGTATTCAATTTATAAGTTACATTTGAACATAAAGTAAAGAAAGAATGTGATTGGTTGATGTTGGTTAGTAGAGTTAACACAAAAAAATAGGTTAGTATTTGAACCACCCTCTATATATATATATATATATATATAAGTATGTATATATAAAAGAGATTAGTTTTGATCATATTAATTCGGGCAAAAAAAATTGATTACCAACAATTCCAACCTGACGCACGGAACCCGTCTTCAATGATACCAATGTGAGAGGGTATTTTTTGGCTAATTCTATGACTAGGCCTAGCGAGGGGGTCTGAGATCGAATCTAATAGTTGTCTTGTATTTTGGTCATATTAACATCCGAGTTTTAGAAGTAGATCTCAAACTAAACAATCATGTATATTCTACCGAATAAGTTGTGAATCTCATCAAACTATTAACAGACAGACCGTTAAAGGCAGTGTGACACTGTTTGTGCTTCTCTTTATGTATCTTCTTTTATTTTTGTTATGAAAAAAACATGTATCAAATCAGATTTTGTAACTTTTTATGAAAAATTATATAAATATTTGCTAAAAAAGTGTATTTGTGTTATGATATATGTGTTGATTTAAGTATCAACTGATAACTATGAAATGCATGCAATGGTTTTATATACTTGTGGGTTGTACGGTACAACACCAGCATCGATGATAAGTAAACCATAACAATATCTAGACTCGTATATGCTGTGAAATAACTATTTGTTGAATTGATTTGTATTTGAAATGTTTATGTTTATTATTTTTTTCATGTTCGTGTTTATAACCGATACCCTATTTTCAAATGAGATTTATCACGCGTATCTCGTTTCGTTTTCGTACTTACAACCACAATGATTATATTATTAACTCGGAAATATCATTTTATTATGCCACATTCAGGGGCAGACCTATTAACCCGCTCAATCTTATTTGTAAGGGAAAAAAATATGGTATGAAAGGTGTAATTGAGGGATGTTTCGAAATATTAGAAAATACAACAAACATTAACCAAAAATCCAAAAAAAAGTCACTTGAAATCAACAAAAGAACTTGAAAAGATCTCTAGAAATCAACAGGAAAAAAAACTTCAAAAAAATCCCTCGAAATGATGGAATTTAGCTAAAAACACATATATTGATTGTTACAGACGCTTGATTCCCCTTAAAAGACACCTATTCGGCAAAAAATGAGCCCACCGCTGGTCACATTATCAAATGATAAATTTAATATTATATTTTTTTAAACTATTAGGTGACATTTGTTTTTTAAGAGGTGCTGAAGTCTGAAGTCTTATTTTACTTCTGATTTATAAAAGGTGGTGCCGACGTTTGAAATCTGAATCAATAAGACTCTTTGTTTTTGTAAACTGATAAACGTCTGAATTTGTTTAAATTGTCTATTTTACCGATTAAAAAATTACGTTGTCGAATTTATAAATAAAGTTTATACAATTTCACATATTTATTCATCATCATTACGAAATTCACATTTAAATCATAATTACCATACATTTAAACGAAAATATGTCATTAATGTATTTAACACATTTAAATCCTATTAAAATACATCAAATGAGATACATGAGGATTGATTAGGTAAGGATTGACTGTGAGAAATGTTCGATTAAAGTTATTCGATTGAGAAACGCCATTGTTAAGGGTTCGAAGAACAATAAGAGACAAATAAAGTGTTGGTTTACCTCTTACCAGATAAAATGACAATAAGACACAAGTGCCTTTGAAAATTTTAAAAAAACAAACAATCTGAATGTCCTTGTCTCCTAACAAATCAATCATAAGAGGCTAATAAGAGCTATTTTATAAAATAAAAAAAGACAAACAAGACCGTGTTATACTCAAATAACACATTTATTGATTTACGCATTCAAATCAAAATTAAATTTTTGTGAGTCGAATTAGAAACAAGTATTTATCCACCATAAAGATTACAACACATCCAATCCAAGACGACTTAACGAAATCTTTATCAAATCAAATAAGTAATTGAGTTGTCGATTGATAACTATTTTGTTTTATGTCTTAAAATCATGTGATTCTGATTAAAAAAAAACGATGTTTAACAACATTTAGGTTCTATGAAAACTGGATTTAAGTTATAAAAAATTTATAAATCAGTAATAAGATTACCCACACGTTTAGTAAGAGGCATAACAAGGACTAAGAGTTTTACCGGGTTCGTTGCTACTTATCTGCAACATATACAACAAACATAATTATGATTGATTTAGAGTCGTTTGCCATATGCTTAGTGGTTAAGCGCTTATCATCAAAAGAAATTACATTCATTTATGTTATCATATAATATTATCATCCATAAAAATGGATTGTTGGTAAGAGTCTTGAACCCAGTAATCGCATATCAGGTAAAAGCCTTTTCCCTCACTTACTGGGTAATTATGCCTCCTACCAAGAAAGATTATCAGTCTTTTTTATGCTTAGCCGGCAAGGTGTTTGATATCAGTATTTGCTTATCTGATAAGTATTTAGTAAACGGTTCCTTAAATACAGTAATCATTACAACAAAATTGGCTTGATTGTCTTATATAATTTTTTTGTACAACTTTCATATATATAGGACCAACAATTATGTGTTTTATACAAAATATTACAGTAAAATGTTAAAACGAAGTTTGACAACTTAACAAGTTATATTTTTTTTATGAAACAATTTCTTTTAATTCATATTGAATTATATTACAATATGACTCATAATGTAAATCACTATTTTACATTTTCATCGGATAAGTTTTTAAACTCTACGACGAAAAATTCAAAAATCAATGGGTTGTTTGTTTACTTCTTAATAGTTTTATTAAGAGGTAACATCTGAATCGTTAAGAAGTGAATTTTGTTTAGCAAAAAAAAAAAAATGTCTCTTAATGGTTCTAAAACTCTCTTCATGATTTTGTATCATGTGTCTCCCTTAACCATCCAGCGCTCTAATTTCATTGTAAACAATCACCAAATAATTATATTTCATTTTGCACTATATCATGAGAGCTTCTTAATCATTCTAACCACATAATCATTCTGCACCAAACCATTCAGCAACTGTCAAATAGTTCCCTAATCTTTTTGTAGTGAATAACTCAGACCAATGAAATTAGTTGAGGTATGTGTAAACTAGTCTGGACAGTTAAAGTTAATAAAAAAAATGAATGAGTGAGTGAAACTAATACATGATTAAATGAGATAACATTGTATGATTTTTTTTAAAGATTGTAAGTATTTATCAAATCAGTGTTATTTACAACTGATAAATACTTGCACAACGGTCAAAAAAAAATGTACAGTCGTTTTAAAGTTAAATGTAATAAACGTCTTAAAATAGTTTAAAGAGTTGAAACAAAAATACTCAAATACAAACTAGTTTAATGATAACTGGTAAGTATTTTACGTTATGATTGACAACTATAAACTGACTTATTGAGTAAACTATTTGATCTTAATGAAACGCTAATCAATAAGCTTCAGCATTTTTTTTGTCATTGTTTCTAGTTATGCTGTAGAATCATTGTTATTAATTACTATTAATTTGTAATTAATATTGATATAAAATTTTAACTAATACTAATTGTAAATTATCAGTTCTTTTGAATTATTATCAATTATATATTTATACTATATTATAAAGCATTTGACATAAACTTTTAAAAACCAGTTTTATGCATTATGTACTGTTTATTGATGTATATTGCTTAAAAGTCAAGTTGACAAGTAGTTTTGCATATATACAACTTATTCTAAAGCTCCATGTTTGAATTCGTGTAAGTAACTGTAGATAAACATGATCAAATACTGAATAGGTATCTCATTTTAATTATAAAAAAATCAAAAATATATTTAGGATAATCATTGAATTCTAACAAAAAACTAATTATTATCTTTATAAAAAATTACATTATTAAACCAAAAATAAATGACTTTAT